GGCCTGGGCTGGGCCCATGGCCCTGACACCTGGCTCTCGTTAGTCAAGGCAGGATGGCTGCTGGGTGGGAACCCAAGCAGATGTGCTCTTGCCTTGCTGACACTTTCCTGCCAAGGAAATAGGGGGAGCCAGGGCAGTCCCTCTCAATGGGCGGCAGGTTTCCGGGAAGAGGCCGGTGTAACCTTAGAGCACTTCAGCCTCCTATGGGCACTGTGGGCATGATACCAGCCCATGGATTTGAAGCTTGTTTCCTGCACAACACAGCCTGGTGAGTTAAGAGGCAGGATCACCAAGTGTCTAAGAACAGGGAGCCAGAGTGCCTGGCATGAGTGTTTTCTCTCTGGGTGACCTTGCAGCATTTAAAACAAAAATCTCTTTGTGCCTCAGTTTCTCATCTTTGAAATGAGAAGAATAAGACTCTGCCAGTGGGTTGCTTCTGGGATTAATCTATTTGTACTGGGACACAGGCTTGACATTCCTCCATGCCAGGCACGTGTACAACTCTCCTCAGGTTGCTCTGAGTCGTCCTCTGAGACAGGAACAAGGAAAATGTTTTTTGCATCTTTAAATATGTTTATTTGGCATCTGTTTATCTCCTTTTAAAAATTTTGTTTTAGAATCCAGAGTACATATGAGGATTTGTTACAAAGGTATATTTTGTAGAGGTGGGGTCTTGGCTTCTGGCGACGCCCTCACCCCAGGAGTGAGCGTGGTACCTGAGGGGTGGTTTTTGCAGCCCTCATGCCCTCTCCCTTCCTCCCTCCCTCCCTTCTCTGGCAATGTCCAGTGTCTTCTTCCTGCCTTTGTGCCCACAGCCCATGTTGAGCTCCCACTTATGAGTGAGAGCATGTGATACTCACTTTTCCGTTTCTGTGATCGTTCACTTAGAATGATGGCCTCCAGCTGTGTCCATATTGCTGCAAAGGACATGAATTGCTCTTCATGGCTGCATAGTATTCCATTGTGTAGAGGGATTACATTTTTCTTGTCCAGCCCACTGTTGATGGACATCCGGGTTGGTTCCATGTTTTTGCTAACCCATGAGGATTTTGAGGCTCAGAGAAGCAGGATGGCTTGTCCGTTTCCCACAATAGCCAGCAGCAGGGAATGCGGTGTCCTGGTGGCCCAAGGATGGGCCTGGGCCTGGGCTTGAGCCCTCAGCCCTCCTGTCCTCCCTCCTTGGAATCCTCCATGAACACTGACTGATGGTGGTTGTTTGTGCCTGAGGGTGATTTGCTTGACAGACAAGGCTGTTGTCTCCCATGGATACAGTGAGCTCTTTGTGTCAAGGATCATGTCTTTACACCTCTCCCATGCCCAGCCCCTGGTGCTAAGTGGGATGCAGAGGAGACTTGGCTTGGAGGGCTTCACAGGGGTAGGATGGGGAGAAATGGCACCTTCATGAGGCTTCCCAGCGGGGCCAGTGGCTGAAGTGGAGCCACCGTGAGGAGGCACTTACCCCTGCCCATCCGCCTTCCCTGCCCTGGGGGTGGTGGGCTGTCAGGAGGCCACCAAGACCCTCAACCCCACCCACAAACCGGGAAGCTCTGAGCACAAGTGTGGTAGCAAGAAGGAGCCCAGATCTGCTTGTGTCTGAATCCCCCCCGGACACTAAGAATACAGCCCTGCCTCTTCCCACCATCTAGTGTGGAGGCAGCAGCAGATTTACATGACTTGACTATACAGCTAAGGATGTTTTTTCCTTTTGGTTATGTTCTTGAGAAGAGCATTTATTGCCTATAAAGAGGTGTTTTTGTTGAAGACAATAGTGCCCTTTAGATGGGAAGGGAATGTTATCTCACAGATGCCTGTGGAGCATAAACAAGAGTTCCTGGTAGCTAGGAGGGCTTTCCGGAAGGTCCCCACCAGGAGGAGACCAGACACGTCCACGGGACCCTCACCCCACCCCCTCCAGGACACCCACTAGTGCAAAGTAAGTTGGAAGCCTAGGACTTTACTTCATGCCTGGTCTAAGGCAGGGCTCCTGGCAGCTGGGAGGGTCCTTGGCGGTTGGGAGTCCCTGGAGGCTGGGAGCGGGGGAAGGCTCCTGGGCTCCTATGGGATGGAGGTGTGAGGGAGGGCTGGTGGCAGGAGGCAGAGAAGGCTCATGGCACCAGCTCTGCAGTTGGGGAACATCTGGCTCCAGCTCCTGGCTCTGCCGCTGATGAGCTGTGTCCTGGGAGCAAGTTGCTTAGCCCCTCTGCCTCAGCTTCATCACTCGAAAATGGATCAGTCTCCCTCAGCTGAAGTTGGATGAGAAGAGGCAGTCACCTCTGGAAAGGAGAGCCTCTGTGTGAGGTCGGCGTCGGCACCTTCCTGATGGCCTCCCAACGCCATGCCTGCCAAGTGGCATTTTCAGGGTTTTGTTTGTGAGTGGGAAGGTATGTGAACCCTCCCTGGTAGTGATAGGGACCCACTCAGAACACAACGTTCTTGAAAGCAGGGTGGGATGACTCTTCAAGAAAGGAAATGTGGCTGGGCTCAGTGGTTCAGCCTGTAATCCCAGCACTTTGGAAGGCCCAGGCGAGTGGATTACCTGAGCCCATGGGTTCGAGACCAGCCTGGGCAACTTGGTGAGACCTCGTCTCTACAATAAATGAAAAATTAGTTGGGCATGGTAATGTGTGCCTGTCGTCTGGCTACTTGGAAGGCTGAGGCAGAAGGATCGCCAGAGTCCAGCAGGTTGACACTGGGGTGGCCATGAGTGTGCCACTGCACTCCAGCCTGAGTGACAGAGTGAGACTCCAACTCAAAAAAAAAAAAAAAGAAAGTAAATGCAAGGCTGGGCCAAGGGTGCTGGGGCCCACGGAGGTCAGACTCCACTGACCAGAGTTTTCCTTGTTTGGTAAGACTGGGCCACAGTTGCTCTTGAGTAATGATAGGTGGACTGTAGAGGCTGATGTCAAGGCTCTTAGAGCAAAATGAGCCAAGGGGCTTTTAAACCACAAACTGGTTTCTCACTGTCCTGGAGGCTGGGAAGTCCAAGAGCAAGATCTGGTGTCAGCTGAGGGCCTACTCTTGCTGTGTCCTCAGGTGGGAGGGATGGGGCAACCCCTGGGGCCTCTTTCTAAGGCAGGGATCCCATCGTGGGGCCTGGGCCTCAGATTCCAGACCTGCTAAGGCCCCACCTCTGAGTCCTGTCATGTTGGGGGTATGGATTTGAGTACAGGGGTTTAGGGGAGATGCATTGAGAGACAGCTGCATTCAAGAGAGACATGCCCGGGGAAGTCCCCTATCCACGTCAGTAGTCCCTGAATCATACCTCCCAGGGCCCGTGAGCCGGTTCCAAGGCTGAGTGGCTACTTCAGTTGGTCATCACATGATTCCCAGGTGGTTACTGCTGTTATTCCTCAAAGGTGAGAAGCCACGGCACAAGGAAGTCGCCAAGTTGGTTAGTGATGGGCTGAGAGGGCACCCAGATGGTTAGTGATAGGCCGAGAGGTCACTGGCTAGTTGGTGATGGACTGAGAGGTTACCCCTCTAGTTAGTGATGGACTGAGAGGTCACTCAGCTGGTTAGTGATGGACTGAGAGGTCACCTGGCTGGTTAGTGATGGGCCAAGAGTTCACTCGTTGGTTAGTGATGGGCTGAGAGATCACCCGCTCGTTAGTGGTGGGCCTGGAGGTCATCTGTTGGTTAGTGTGGGCTGGGAAGTCACCCATTGGATGATGATAGACCAGGAGGACACCCACTGGCCAGTGGTGGGCCGGGAGGTCACCTGTTGGTCAGTGGTGGGCAGGGACTGAAGCCAGGAGTCTGCCCCGTCACTTGCTGGCATGTTCCTCCTGCTGTGGCTGGACCCCGCATGGGGTGGAGGTCCTGCTGTCAGTGTGGCTGAGTGTTTTCTCACATGCAGGCGTGCTCACGCCGACAGCAGTAGCCACTGTAACAAGCGTTCTTGTTACTGTCATGTATCATGGAGCACTCCTGACAGCGTGGCCTGTGCTGGGCCTTAGAATCCCCCACAGAGCCAGGAGGCAGGGAATTGTCAGGCCCACTGTAAATTTGGGGTGGTCCCAAGGATCCCCTTTCCCATCTGATTGTGTTTCCATGTCCTAACATTCCCACTACCAGGTCATCTGTGCCCTCCTTAGCCAGGCTCAAACAGGAAGCAGCTGTGGGTCCCACTGCACCCCCGCCCAACTCCTCCATGGCCCAGGGACCCTGGATCTCACCTGGGTGTTGTGCTGTTTGCAAAATGCTCCTGGCCCTTTCCTGAGTCTGCTTCCCTGAGCATCCATGCACAGCTCTGTTGTCTGAGATCTGTGTCTCTGTCCTCACGTAAGCTGGTTTGGGTATTCCCTCATTCCATGTTGCCACACGGGCACGAAGGCCTCTCTCCCCTGGAGTCTGACTCTGAAGTTTTGCAGCAGAGGGAGAACGTGAGCTGATGTGATGTTAAGTGGTGGCACTGGAATGAAAGCAATGAATGCCAGAATAGTAGTCCAGGGCAGACCTCAGTACTCTAATGTGGGTGAGGAGGCTGATGGGATGCTAGGAGTGGAGGGGAGCAGGTGTTCTTGTATTTCATGTTGCTTATTTAAGAGTGGCCTCTCCCATGGTTGACACGAGGACCTCGGAATCTTTCCTGTCACCCACAACATCTCTTCTGGGACTGTGTGGCCCTGTTAATAAAAGCAATTCACACACCTTCACGTGTGAAATCACGGTCATCGCTAGTCTGCCCTTGTCCACCTTCCAGTTCTTTCTTGTTTTTGGAGGATGAAATTAGAAATCAGTATGTTTAGAATGTTGATGTGCACATGTATTTTACTCTGATGCATATATACTCAGGGCTTGCTGTCTAGTGAGTGTTTTAATCTGCTTTTCTTCCATTGTCCCTGAATGAGTGGACCTGGAGGAAGATGGAGTGACCCATGCCGTCCACTGCTGACTGACATGCATTTGAGGCTCACGGGGCTGGCCACAGTGTGTCTTTTGTGAAGGCCTTGCAGGCTGCACTGTCTAACAGACTTGGAAACCTGTCTGTCCTCTTGCAGGCATTAAACGTTGTCTTTGAAAAAATCCCAGAAAACGAGAGCGCAGATGTCTGTCGGAATATCTCCGTCAACGTCCTTGACTGTGATACCATAGGCCAAGCCAAAGAAAAGATTTTCCAAGCATTCTTGAGCAAAAATGGCTCTCCATATGGACTTCAACTCCACGAAATCGGTCTTGGTAAGCGATGCGGGTGCCACACTGTTCTCAGTGGCGCCCTCTGTCCCTGCCCCTGCAGCTTTCATTGGGCCAGGCTACTGCGGCTGTGGTGTCCCTGGAGGGCGGGTCTAGGGGCTGTGAGCGTCACAGTTCTTCCTCGGAACCATCACCCTCCCGGGTGTCACTTTCGAGTGTTATGTTTGTAAATAGATTCATGAGTTCGCTGGCCCTGAACTGCACAGAATCACCTTAAGTACAAACTACCAAAAGTGGGCACGCATGCCCGCTGTGTTGCACATCACACTGGCATTTGAGTTGCGTGTTGTGATATGAATGTATCAATAGTGGGTGGCTTAGGCTCCAGTGTGGACTCTAGCCTACTGGAAGGTCATCTTCCACTCTGCATGGAGGACACACTTCATTCTCCTAGTATGGAACAGTGTCTACTGTGAATACCTGGGACCCATGAAGGAGTGTGTTTGTGACTAGCCTACAGGGATGTATGAACCCCTCAGTGTCCCATGAAGGAGCATGCAGTGACCAGCTCACGGGGATGTCTGGACCCTGTAGGTGTCCCATGAAGGAGCGTGTGGGTGACCAGCTCACGGAGGTGCCTGGGCCCTGTCAGTGTCCCATGAAGGAGCACGCGGGTGAGCGCTCACAGGGATGCCTGGGGCCTGTCAGTGTTCCATGAAGGAACATATATGTGTCCAGCTCATAGAGATGCCTGGGCCCTGTTGGTGTCCTGTGAAGGAGTGTGTAGGTGACCAGCTCACAAGGATGCCTGGCCCTGTCAGTGTCCTGTGAAGGAGCATGTGGGTGACCAGCTCACAGAACCATGAGCAACTCACACTCATTTTAAAGTCGAGCTCCACACAGCCTCCCGGGAAATTGTCATGGGATTTCAAAGCAGATAACAAGGCAGATGGGAAGAGTTAAGTTGCTGTGGTGAAATAGGGTAGCAGGGCCCCTCCTCTTGAGAGCCTGTGGTGGGGCTCCCTGGACAGGCCATTAACCCTCTGTTAGGCCTCCTGCTTATAGGCCATTGAGAAGTGTCTCAAGGCAGGGGCTAGGACAGGGAGACCCTACAGATGTTTGGGGACTCAGGGCTCCAGGGCACCTCTGATGGCCTCCCCATTGCTTCTGTCCGTGGGAGGACTGCTGGGAAGCCTGGAGACTATTTTAGCTCAAAAGGGCATCCCAGGCAGGAAACCATGACCATCAGCTTCCTTGCTCTAGGTACAGCTTGTACGTGGCACCCACCAGTCTCAGCTGCATATGTCAAGTCTGTAGGACCAGCCTCACCCTTTTTTGGATTGTTAAGCATGCGTCCCTCGCTCCCTAAAGCAGCAGGACAGGACCAGAACCTGACCAGGATGTTGCTGGCCTAAGACCAGATGGCTGTCCCCCAGTGGCCTTGTGCCACATCTACTGGTTGACAGGGACATGGCCAATCAGCATGTCGGCTTCTGTATACCTGCCAGTCTTTAAACTATGTCCAGGGCTGGTCCCAGGACATTGAGGCCAAAGCTTGGAAGTTGCCAGGTGTCTGTTGAAACCCTGCAGGCTGTGCTCAGAGGCCCACACCTCATGCCTGGAACGCAGGAAGCCCCTCAGGAGGGATGTTGGCAGTTGCCTCAGACAGTAGAAAATGCTGGGCTGGACGGGGCTGGGAGGTGACTCCCCACCTCACAGTGCAGTGCCACTTAGCATCAGCCCACATGGCCATGTGGCTGCAGGGTCAAGGTCATTAGGGTATCTGACTTTTTTTATTCTTTGAAGAAATTAGAAGTTCACATTTTTATGTGTGTCTTCCCAGCTTTAAATGCTGGCTGGCACTGAGTTGACATTAAGGAATGATTAACAAAACACTGCAGGTTCCAAAAGAAATCCCACACATTGTGAGCCATACCTTGAGCCCAGGCATGAGAGAGTGGCCCCAGCCAGAGTGTTTGCACCCTGTGGTGCTGGGATGCTGGCATATAGTCCCCACACCACAGGAGCCCAGAGATGGTTCCCGAAGGCCATGGGCACGGTGGGGCATGGTGGCTCATGCTTGTGATCCCAACACTTTGGGAGGCCAAGGTGGGAGGATCACTTGAGGCCAGGAGTTCAAGACCAGCCTGGGCAACATAGCGAGACCCCCTCTCTAAAGTATTAAAGGGGGTGGGCTCCTGCCTGCCCCTGTCTGTGTCTGCAACATGCTGGTATGAGAGCTGAGCATGTAGATTTGCTTCTGGAAGTCTCTGAAGGGCTTTGGCCTTCAGTCTTCCCTTCCAGGCCAGCCTCAGAGTCAGAGCTTCAGAGAAAGGTGCTTTGAAGTGTCAGAGCCCTGCACATACACAAAATAAACACAGCTCAGGCCACCGCATGGCCTTTCCACATCTTCCCTGAGACTCACCACTCATCTTGCTGGGTTGATGAGGCCAACACTCATGGGGTGGCGGGCGCACTCACGTGTCCCTTGGTGAATGGGGCCTCTTTCTTGCAGAGCTGCAGGTGGGCACGAGGCAGAAGGAGCTGCTGGACATTGATGGCTCGTCTGTCATCCTGGAGGATGGCATCACCAAGCTCAACACCGTGGGCCACTACGAGGTAAGGCCACCGCAGCCCACTTGCCTGTCTTGGGGGTCCCCAGCTGCCTCAGGGCCACCCAGCTCCCAGGCCACCTGCAGTTGGCCACCTCTGGCTGCTCTCTAGCCGGGCTCAGAAGAGTTGGCGCTGTCCTTGCCCATGGTCCCTCTCAGGGGCTGCGACTGTCCCATTCATGGGACACCCTCATCCTGAGGCTGGGTCAGAAGCATTGCCTTTGCAAGTCTCTGACCTTGTCTGTCCTAGAAAACCAAAGAAGTATTGTCATTTTACTTCTGCGGGGGCCTAGTATCAATGCTAAGGGAAGCCCCTGAGTCCCGGCTGCCTGGCCCACAGCCTTTGCAGGGCCTTGTGGCCTTTGTGTGGGGTTCTGCTTCTAGAAGCACCTGTGTCCTGTGTTGTCATCTCCAGCGACACAGCCTTTGGCCCCTGGATCCCCACGTGAGGTGAATGCTGGGGTCAGTGAGGGTGCATGCAGCTTCTCAGGCACCCAGGTGTGAGAGGCTTACCCATGGCAAGGGCGGAGGCAGGAAAGCTCAGGAACACACTGGGCTGGCTACTGGGCAGCATGATCTGGATCTTGCTGCATATCCACTATGTTGAAAGCCAGGCTGTGTGGATGGGGACAGGGTCCTCGGGGAGGCGGGAGAAGGGGGAGACAAGAGGCAACAGCCTACTGGGTAGCAGTGCTAGGCTTGGCGCATCCAGGAAGGCTTCCTGGAGCTGGCCGTAACTGAGCAGAGACCTAGAGAGCAAGGAGGACTTGGCCAGGTCAGAAGGGAGGGCAGTTCTCTGGTAGGACCTATTGGTCTGGCCTAAACCTGAGGGTGGGGGCAGGGGAGCTGACGTGGCCAGTGCCTCTGGCGCCTGCTCCATGCTGCCTGCTGTTCCCAGCTGTCCCCGTGTTTCTGCTCCTCCTGTGCTACCTCACGCCCATGAAATGGGCACCCTTGCCAACCCATTTCACAGATGACGATGCGGAGGCTCATGACGGCAACCTGCGCCTCCCTGCTTGCCTCTGCGGCAGGGCCAGATTTGGATCTGGAGAGCCGGTCAGGGGGTTGTGGCTTCACTCTTTACGGAGAAGGAGGGCAGAGGCAAGCAGGGAGGCACAGGTTGCCAGGATCACCGTTGCTTCAGGACTGGGAGTTCATTCCAAGAATGATGGCGAGCCCTGGAAGCTGAGAAGGTGGTGGCTGCACGTGGAGTGGAGACGTGAGGAGCTGCCCTGGAATTGGGGAGCCTGTCGGCAGCTGGAGGGTCCTGGTGGGCATGTTGCCATCCAGAGTGTGCAGGCCCTGGAGGTGGAGGTGCGGGATGAGGGGAGCAGAGATACTCGGAGGGGGCGCCGCACCCTGTGTAGGCAGGAAACGTTGGGATGAGGGAGGGGGCATCACTCAGGCTGGCTGGGCAGATGTGGGGGGTTCTTGCTCAGAGAGGGGGAGGTTTAGGGGGCTTCCCAGGACACAGGGCCTTCTCTAGCTGTGAAATCCAGGGAGGAGGATTAGAACTGGGAAGGACTTTGGACCCCGCCAGGCTTCCCTCTCCCAGGAAGGAGCTGAGACTGTCCCTGAGCAGGGTTGTCTGGACAGCAGCCAGGAGCAGGGGTCGCCAGCTGGGCTCTTTGGCCAAGGGGGTCTCAGCCCTGTTTGGAAGTCACCGCTTTGGGTGGGCATCACAGCCTTGCTAGAGGAACCAAATGGCGATCTCACAGAGTAGAGACCTGCTCCCACGCTTGATCTCCAAGGCTCAGACTTTCCAGCCACAGGGAAAGTTGGAAAGTTGCGGGGAGAGTTGGTAGGAATCCCCCGGGAGCTTTCTGAAGTATGGATTCCCAGGCTCAGGAATATGGGTGGGCATCGGGACCGCACTTGGAGTGACCCTGCCCCAGGGGGCCATCATGGCCAGGATGAAGTTGGAGTCAGAGGTATAGCCTGTGGGCAGTGGTACCCAGGGAGGGGCTGATGTGGCATCCACTTGAAGCCCCAGGTTCCAGGCCTGTGGGCCTCTCCTGCCCTCCATGCATGTGGGTGGCAGATTTGTCTCTGCAAGGCTGGAGGGACACAGGCCTGCTGGGTATCTTTGATGTGACTGCAGGCCTTCTCAATACCTCTTGGCCACCGTAGGGCACAAGAAGTCCCCAGGAAGGGTGAGTGCCACTGTAGCTTACAGCTGGGGAGTCCTGTAAGATAAGCCCTGCGGCACATGGATGGCCAGGCCAGGGCGGGCTATTGGGAGGGATACCACTGCATCCGATACTGGCTGCATGAGACTCCTGTCTGCTTATGGATGATAATGGAATTAATCCGTCCTGTAGTCGTTTCCAGTCCAAGTGATTTATTGGCCACACACCCCAGCGTTGCTGCCTGGTGGTTATAAATGACACGACCAGAACACGGGGGCTTAGAGGATTGTCCTTATGCTTAAGAGCTAAGCTGCAAGGCAAATATACACAGAGCACTGGAGGGTGTGGAGGTCACCACCATTCTGTCCATCCCGGGAACCTGTCGGTGCAGTCTGTCGGCAGAAGACCAAGAGGCATCCACTGCCACTCGGCCACCCCAGCCTGTCCTGGGTTTAGTTGTGCCCCAGCAGACACAGAATGGGGGTGACTTGAAAGGGCTGGGCTGACGTGTGTCTCTGCCCTTTTGTTGAAACATTCCCACCAAGCACTAGCATTTCTCTCCAAAGAGACAAGGTGCTAATTATCACTCTTACTCATTTACCAGAGTGCCCCAGTTTAAGTCACTATGTGCTTGAAAGCAAAAAAAAAATTCATTTAAAGATGGGATCTAATTTGGAGTTTTAAGTGAATCAGACTCACCTCCCTCCAATTAATCCAAATTAGTTAGGTTTTAAAGTTAATCTGTCGTGATGGCCAGTTCCTCCTACTGTCTAAACAAAGTCACTGCTGCTGGAGCAAGCCGTTTCTTCTCGCCTTGTTCTGTCCTCAGAGCAAACAGTGTGGCTGTTCTCCTGAGTGATGTGCTCTCAGCATGTTTCAGGACAGGTTTCTGGAGGCGATCTGAGGGCAAGAACGCATGGTGTCCTGCAGAGCACATGCAGCCTGGGGCCCAGGTCGCCACAGTGCCACAGTGTCTGAGGAACAGTCAATTCTGGGTCCTTTTCACACCTGGGAAGTCTGCATCTCATGTAAGATCAAATCAACATGTGAGAGGACAGAGTACAGGAAGTTGCAGCAGGTCTCTGCTTCGTGGCTGGTCTGCGAGGCTCCAGGCCCACAAGGAGTATCCCTGTGAGCCATTTGCAAGGTGGTCACCCAGGGGGACACACAGCTCTCCGCAGTGGCACCCTCTGCCTGGGAACAGAAAGGAGGCAGTTGTGCGTGTGAGACTTGAACCCCACACTCAGCTTCCCCGGCATGATGAGTCTGGGCCTCAGGTCTCGTCTCCCTTCAGGGTCCCCAAGGCAGCCGCGCCCCACACCTCAGGGCCGTGCCTCAGCCAGTGGCCCTGAGGCTCCGGGGGATGGGCCTTCATGACACATCCTTCAACCAAGAATGCAGGGTGGCAGTTTTCACGCCAGCCCCATCCTGTCCTGTACAGCCAAGGGGCTGAGTGCTCAGGTCTCCACAGACACAGAAGCAGAATTGTCCCGCTGTCATTAGGCCCCTGCAGGTGCCCAGAGTGGGCAGTGGCTCCATGTGTGTCTGCTGGGGTGGGGCAGGGCGTGTGCTGTGCCCGAGAGGTCAGGCATGCCTGCCTGTTGGGATAGGGTATGCTGGCCCCCGTGACTATGGTGGTTGGGGTCTCTGGGGTCCAGGCTGCCCTCACTCTCCTGCACGCTGGTGTGACTCTTTATTGGACTGAGTTGCGCCCTGCAGAGTGGTGCCTGGCATGCAAGATGGCGTTTGATGGAGGAGGCATCTCTGCTGTCACTTGGAGCGCAAGACTTGGGAAGACCGGCTGGTCACAGTGTTGGTGGAGACCACTGCCATGCTGTGGTGGGCTGACGCAGATGGGTCCCTGCTGGCACCGCATGTATCATTCAGAAGATAGAGCTCACAGGAATGTCCCACAGGGTCTGCTGGCAGTCCTTCTGGTCAGGTGTGTTATCCATGACACTGAAATTCTAAGGCCTCCTGCAGCATACATGTCTCTAGATACCCATTTATTTAACAAACACATGTCAAACTTCTTGGCCTGTCATCCCAGCACTTTGGGAGGCCAAGACGGGAGGATTGCTTGAGGTCAGGAGTTTGAGACCAGTTTGAGCAACACAGACCCTATTTCATAAAAAAAAATTAAATTGAGAGAGAGCGAGAGTACTTCTTGTATTCCAGGAACTGTTCAGGGCTTTGGCCAGTACAACAACTCTCTGGTCCTCATTTCCTCCCTGAGATGAAGACTAGGAAACTCAGCCAAGGCCACACAGTACCTCTCAGATTCCGCAAGGCTGAAAGCAGTTGAAAAGAATCATCCTGGAGACCTGGGCTCAGTTCAGGCCTGAGGACTGCCCTGCTCAGGGCTGGATCACAGCCTTTGCTCCTGCCCTCCACCCAAAGCAGCCTATTTAGAAAGCCAGCTGATGTGTGAGAAGTCCTGGTAATGACACTGCCCTATACCAGGCTCCGAGGTGGCCTCTCCCAAAGCCTTGTGATGAGCCTGGTGTCTGAGTGTCAAGTGCTGCCCTTCTGGTCCCCATACCCTCAGACCAGCAGTCACAGAGAAGGTGACCAGTGCCATCCAAGAGGGGCCTCTCTCAGGCTCCGGCTCTAATGGCTCCAGTCCAGCTTCCCTGGGCGCTTGGCCTCCAGTGTCACTGGCTCTTGGAGAACCAGCTCCCTTGGGAGAAAGACAACCTCCAGGTACCTCTAATAGTCTGTGGAGGGAGCAGGCTGGGGGCCCATGGAGGTTTCCAGTAAACAAGAGAAGCAGGAGCCCTCTGGGCACTTTCTGTGGTTCCAGGCCTCTCCAAGCCCTGCCCCAGGTGTCAAGAACCCCAGTGACTCAATGCTTCCCGGCCCATCCACATGCTCGAAG